CCCCATATCAAACTTCTTTATCTTCATCTGGTTAAATTCTGCTCAGCTAACCATCCAAGCTGTATAAAATGCGTGCTATCTGCAAGTTTAGGAGTTCTCGCATGCTTCCCTACACTTCAGACCAGCTGGCTGCTTCAGTGTCTCTCCGCTCTAGCCCTGAGTGGCTAGTCAGTGTTCATTAAGTCCTCTTCACTTTCAATAATCAAGGTTCAAGAGCCTATCACAGGCTGTAAATAACTCTTCTTCCAATCCTGATGCCAAAAGAATGCAACCCTGATGCAAACCTTTCCTGATTTTAAACCATTCAGTATCCCCTTGTTCTGTCTGAACAACTGTCTCTTGATATGAAGAAAAAAATCAAGCCTTGACTTGAAATATTCAAGGATCCTACGGGCAAAATATTGAATGATGCAGACAGTATCAAAAGAAGATGCAAGGACTACACAGTGTCACTGTAACAAAAGAAATGGTCAGTGATCCATCATTTCAAGAGGTTGCATATGATGAAGAGCCAATGACACTGAAGGAAGAAGGCAAGAAGTCCAAGGTGCACTGAAGACACTGGCGAAGAACAAGGTGAGGGTGGGGACTGGTTATGACCCCCGCTACCTTAGCTTCCAGGTGGCCCAAGAACAAGATAGAACCGTACCCCCTTGCCACCAACCTCCAGCCGTATGCTGTGCTCGAAGTCTGCTGTATACAGAGCGTCTCACAAAAACTCAAACTTGGTTTTAGCAGAAGAGGAAATTTTCTCCAGAATTTCCTAAGGGAGATTAGTTTTCTGCAAATGGATGCAGGATGCATGGTGAAAAAACATCTGGATAAGACAGAAACAAAACTGTACAGTTGAGCACTGACTGATTTAGGTGTTTAGAGGTCTGGTGGCTACCAGTCTCCCTACCTCTAAGGCTCTCCTTATTCTTGTCTTCTTTTCTCTGTCTCACAGACATACACACCAAGACATAGGATGACAACAGACCCTAAAATATAACTGCTAAAGTCAGTCTGAACTGCAAGGCTGGCAGTTCAATCTAACCAGCCACTCGTTGGAAACCCTACACAAGGTTGCTATGGGTTAGAACCAACTCAATGGGACTTAACAACAACAAGGGAATTCCAGAAAGGAATTTCCCACACTCCACTGAGATCTCCTTAGCAGCAAAATAGAAGTAACAGAACATATGCTGTTAGGAACGATTTTAATCACTGTTCAAATTGCAGCTAAAAGAATACATTTCAAAAAAGGCACATAGCTTCTGTTTAAAGTTTTACATAGGCTCTAACTTTATCTTTTTCTTTCCAAGATTCACTTCTCTATTTGTTTGTCTCAATAACCCAAAATCCAAATCCAGCATTTTCCATTTTAACATCTCCCTCACTTTTCTTCCATTTTGGACCTAAACCAACTCACTTCCTCCTTTCAGAGCATATGATAGGTTCAAAAAAATTCTTAAAGGTATGGAGGACTAGTTTCACCAACCACAACCAAATAATGTGAATTTGGACAAACACAAGCTGGATGCAGAGAGATGAATATTTCCATTAAATTCCATAAAGAAACCTTGACACTAGACATTTCTAAATGGTCTGTCCAGTACTTAAGTCTAACGATGACCATTCAACATAACTACTTAGAAAAGCAGCAATAGGATACACCCTTATTACTTTTCATTTATTCACTTAGCCATAGTGACTGAACAAGTCACGCAAAAAGAAAAGGGGAATAGAATTTTGGTTCACGTATTTTGCTCATGTAACAAACAGTCATTTTGTTTAGTAGTTATGTGGACAATGTCCTTTCAAGAATTTCACTAAGAAAACTCTATGACTTATTAGCTATCTAGCCAGCCAGCTAGTCAGTCAGCCAGCCCAGCTAGTCAGTCAGTCAGCCAGCCCAGCTAGTCAGTCAGTCAGCCAGCCAGCTAGTCAGTCAGTCAGCCAGCCAGCTAGTCAGCCACCCCACAGGTCAAGAAAGCTATCATTCATTGAACAAGCATTCATGTTAACAAACAATATGCCTAGCCCTTGGTAAATGTTAAAGTCAGCAGTTTGGGTAGATGGCATCCTCTCTTTTCCTCCCTGGGGAAAGAAGAACAGTTGGTCTCTGTAGCCAGTCTTCATCGGTGCTACTCTGTTTCCTAGTGTTCTGTATCTGGTCCCTTCCTTCAATATCACAGCTATGCCTTCCACCACTAAATGACCTCCACTCCTCAAAACTTATCTCCTTCGATATTATTACTAAATCCAATGCTGACTAAAGGGTTTCTAGGTGCTCAGAAATTTACAATAAGACTTACAAAAGAAATAAGAACTGTAGTCCTGAACTTGAGAAGATCATATGCTGGTAGGGGACAGGAAACCTATATAGGAAGTATTTGAAGAGAACAAATGCGTGTATATGTTATAAATAATATGTGTAAAGAGTAATGCTGAATAAATAACAAGGAGGCAATCAGTGTTGGATGCACTCCATTTTTAATATTTATGCAGTTAAGAAAAGATTTGAAAAATGACTAAGAGAATATGAGGTTATTTTAGTGTTTTATAAGCCTAACAGGAGACAAGAACATGCAAAAGCATTTCAGAAAAAGCAACATAACTAGACTGAATCAAACTGAGAGGCTCAGATGGGATACAGAAAGGGATAACATAAGAAATATGTTTAGGTTTGGATGGGAGTCAGCAAGGGAGGTCTAAGTAGTTAAGTGAAGAGCCAAGCTGGGACATTAGAAAGGAAACACATTTGCATGCTAAAATGGGTAAGAAAAAGTCATAAAAATTCTGGAAAAAGGCAATACTATATATTTATCTGTTGTTTAAAATTGTTTTAAAAAACAAAGACTCCACTTTGATGACTAATGTGTGTCTCATCTAAGCCATAGTCCTTTCAGTTGCCTCATGTGGAAGCTCAGTGTCCAGTTAAATAATAACTTTAGAACAGTCAACTACTTGAGATCCAAAAGGCCCCATTTACCCAGGGACAGCATTCAGACGGAGGAAAGAATGTAAGCAGGACGCACAGGGAGGAGGTGGGATAAGTCACGTTACACTGCAATTGATGTGAAGCAAAATGTGTATGAATTGTTGAATGGAAAACTGATCTGCTCCAGAACCCAATTCACAATAAAAAGGAAAAAGACTGTGAAGAAGAACTGATTCCTCGCACTGTGGTGCTGGAGAAGACTGTTGACTACACTGAGAACTTCCAAATGAAGAAGCAAACATACGGAGCCTGGGAATTACAGAATCTCCACTTCAAGTCTTTCATGGACATATCTGAACCATTCTAATAAAATAAAGCTAAAATGAATTCTTATGCGAAAAACTCTTGAGTTTTAAAAATCGTATCATATTTCTATGTAGTTGAATTCTGGTTTTTCTAAAAATGGTTTTTAGAAAAGATTACCTTTGGACTCCAGTTCCATTTTCTTTTTCTTGGCCCATATATTATGGTAATTCTCCGCCATCATTTCTGCCATAGCCTTACATGAATAAAATATTAAGGAGCTAAGTTATACTGTAATGATTTAAAAAAGGATAACATTGTTTTTCATAACGTAACATCAAAACATACTTTAAGTTAACAAAAGCATGAAGCATTAGTGGTAAAATACATTTTTTGAAAACCCACAACTCTTTTATTTAGAATCTGAATTCCAGAAAATTTTAACTATTTGCCAAATTACATAGTAGTGTGACACTGTTGGTTAATGTGCTGGATTGCAAGGTCAGTTTCAACTGCAAGGTCAGTGGTTCAAGTACACCAGCTGCTCCTCAGAAACGCTCTACAGGGTTGCTATGAAGAAGTCTTGGTGGTGCAGTGATTAAGCACTCAGCTGCTAACTGAAAAGTCAGAAGTTGGAACCCACCAGCGGCTCTTCAGGAAATAGATGTGGTAGTCTGCTTCCGTAAAGAGGTTGTTGTTGTTGTTGTTGTTATGTGCCATGTAGTCCGTTCCAACTCATAGCGCCCCTGGTACAGTGTTTCCAAGGTTGTAAATCTTTACGGGAGCAGAAAGCCTCATCTTTCTCCCATGAAACAGCTGGTAGTTTCGAACTGCTGACCCTGAGGTTAGCAACCCAATTTGTAACCACTACACTCTGGTAAAGAGTACAGAGTTGGAAACCCTATGGGGCAGTTCTACTCTGTCCTATGAGATTTCTCTGAGTCACAAGCAAACCAATAGAAACATGGAAACTTCACAGGAGTTTCCGTGCTTTTGTGTTAGATGGCATGCTCATTGCTATTTATAATGTTTAAAAGCATGTTTGATTAATTCAATAATGCAAACTTAAAAATGGTTTTGGCAGTGGTGGTTGTGTGCCAACCAGTTGGTCCTATCCCTGTAGAGGGCTCCCTAGGTTGTAAATCTTTATGGGAGCAGAAAGCCTCATCTTTCTCCCATAGAGCAATTAGTGGATTTGAACTGCTGACCTTCAGACTAGCAGCCCAATGTATAATAGCCTGCTACACCACTATCGTCCCTTAAAAATGGCTATAGTCAAGAAATGTATTTTATAATTTCTTTTTTCTTCTTCTTTTTTTTAATTCCAAGGTTTTAAAGGAGCTCTGTTAGCATAGTGGTTACGAGTCAGGCTGCTAACATCAAGGTCAGCAGTTCGAAACGACCAGCCATTACATGAAAGAAAGATGAGACTGTCTGCTCCTGTAAAGGTTTACAGCCTCAGAAACCCTATACAGGGTCGCTGTGAGTCAGAACCAACTCCACGGCACAAAAGCAACCAACCAAGGCTTTAAAAGATGATCAAAGCTAATTAACCATTATATTCATGCTTTTGTTGTTGGTACATGTGTCAGGTTGGTTCTGACTCATCACGGTTTCTAAGAAGTGGCTGGTGGGTCTGAACTGCCAACCTGTGGTTAGCAGACCAATGCTTGTCCTACAGCACCACATCAGGACTCCAAATACTTGACTTCTATATCAATCTCTGTCCCAGACTAGGAGAATGATTTTGGATAAATTGCTTTACACTTTCTGTGGTATTTTGGATTTTAATAAGATTACCTCTCAGATCTTTTCACTTTTTAGAGTTTTTAAATTTACTGTCATTTTGATGTGCTAATACAAGGACAATAACAAATCAACAATACAGAGATTTTGAATTTACATCTTTATTTCTTTTGGAATAACACCACTACTAAGGTGTGATCACACCATTTTGAGCTGTTAACTTGTTTCCTGGCAACAAATTTTATCTTTCAATCAGCCATTTCATAGTAGGATCTTTAGTGACAAAGAAGGACAGATAAGATTATGAAGGGACCAAGCCAAATGCTATCAGATCCAGTAAACAGACAACCTAAGATCTATACAGATTAATGATTAATTAAGGTGGTAACACAGTGGTTACAAATCAGGCTGCTAATCTCACGGTCAGCAATTCAAGACTACCAGCCGTTCTGCAGGAGAAAGATGAGGCATTCTGCTCCCATAAAGATTTACAGCTCGGAAACCCTGTACAGGGTCGCTATGGGTCGGAACCGACTCCATGGTGCTTAACAACAACCACAACAAAGGTGGTACTTAAACATGTTAACTAAATCATTAATAAAAAATGTACTCTCTTCTCACCCAGAGCTATTTAACTATGTTAGGATTCTTTAAATGAATATCATCTTTGAAGAGAAAATGTCATTTGGATCATAGCAACTTTTGGATAGTACTGAAAGTTAAGGACATACTCTGTCAACCCCATTGGATCACCACACTGCAAACATCTCTTGTTTTAAAACATACACAGTATGGAATTCAAAGTGAATTTTGGAGAATGTTTGTGAGAGAGCACTACTTACATACAGATCTCTGGAGAGGGTAACATTGCTCATGTCAATGGCTCGGGGGCTGTAGCCGTGGGCAGCATCTACGGAAACCTAGATGATTTATGAAAAACAGTGTCTTATGAAAAAATCAAGTGGGGAGAGACTTAAATGATACTTTAGGTATTAACAAAGAAATAAGTAGCAAATAATTAGCAAACATAATGCTTTCTCTGAGTCCTAGTGAGCCGCTGTAAGTTAAGCACTGGACTGCTAACCACAAGGTGGGACATTCAAACTCACCAGCCACTCCTTGGAAACCCTGTCTATCCCAGTTCGCCATGAGTCGGAACTGACTCGATGGTTCTTAACAACAGCAGCATTTCCTCAGATAAAACTGGCAACTATCTATACATAAAGATGTTGTGAATGTATTAAATTATATCTGTATGCCTAGCAATTATTTATGATTGAATAATACTCTGGTGGCATAGTAGTTACAAACTGGGATACTAAACTCAGGGTCAGCTGTTTGAAACTACCAGCTGTTCCGCAGGAGAAAGATGAGGCTTTCTGCTCCTGTAAAGATTTACAGCCTCGGAAATCCTGTACAGGGTCGCTATGGGTCGGAACTGACTCCACGGCACATAACAACAATGATACTTGTATATTCTAATTTCTTAGGGATGGACAATATCAAAAGTTTACAAATATTTTTAATAACTGCATTGGATTCAGGATTATAAAACATTACTTTAGACAAAGGCCCATTTTATTACTGTCTTTCTTGCACCCTTGCTGTTAAGTGCCCTCAAGTCAGTTCTGACTCATAGGGACCCTGTATAGGGTTTCTGAGGAGGGGGGCTGGTGAGTTTGAACCAACAACCCTGCAGTTCAAACTGACCTTGGAGTCCAGTCCTTATCCAACAGCACCACACCAGGACTTCACTTGCACCTAATAGGTTGCAATTAAATTTACTCTACCTCAAATATTGTCAATATTAATTAGAGACTAATATTTACAAATGTCTTTATGGGTCAAATATTAGGATGAAATATAGCTGAAATTTTCATTATAAATAATGGATATACAAATACCATACTCAGAGGTTTATAAAAACATTCTTAACAACCAGAAGACTTCTTTCATTTCTAAATTTTCTATTTTAAAAGTTGAAATTTATCCTCTCCTCAGCTCTGAGAAGGCTTAATACTGGCCTGGGTACTTACCTCTTTCCACAGAAAGTTGTATTTTGCTATGACTATTGAGAAAGTGAACTCTGATTCATGTTGATATCTAAAATTCAACTTGATATATTTCAAAAATCTGTATATGATTAAGCATGTATCAAAATGAAATTAAAAGATATAATATTTCTTACACATTTTCTTGATAAAATCAGAAGAAAGATGAGCCTTTCTGCTCCCGCAAAGATTTTAGCCTCGGAAACCCCATACAGGGTTGCTTTGAGTGGGAACAGACAGGACAACACTTAACAATAGCTTGATAAAATAAAGGAGAGGTTAGTATGTAGGTCCCTGAGTGGAGCAAATAGTTAATGCACTTAGGGGCTAAGTGAAAAGTTGGAAGTTGGAGCCCAACCAGAAGTATGTGGGAAGAAAAATCTGGTGGTTTACGTCCAAAAAAAGCCAGGCATTGTAAATCCTATGGCGCACAGTTCAATTATACACATGAGACCACTTTCAGTTGGAGTCAACTCGACAGCTACACACACACACATACACAAATTATATATATATATATATACAACATAGGTCATTGTTGATGCTGTTAAGCTCAAGTCATATCCAATTTACTCTTTATTTTCACTATGCCTGTGTCCTATACCTTTACAGCCTACAATGAAATGTGCAATTAATACAGTCACCAGATTAATATCATGCTTTGTTTTCCATTGTTGTTGTTGTTAAACGCCGTCAAGTTGGTACAGACTCAGAGTGACCCTGTATAGGGTTTCCCAGAAGCAGCTGGTCAATTCGAACCGCAGACCTTGTGGTTCAAACCAACCTTGTGGTTACATACTTATCCTATAACACCACATCCAGACTCTATTCATTAATCAAGCAAATTTCTGGTTCAACTTAAAAGTGTATTATTTATTACTTACGTTTCTTACAGAAGCTTACACAATTTAAAAGGAAACTCTGAATTTCCATTTAAAACAGTAAGTACAATTTTAAGCTGACTCCTAAACTCTTTCAGATTGGGTGATGCTTTTGTTACCTAGCATTCATATGCCAGTCTTATGATTATTCTGCTCTTTGTTGTTGTTGTTGTTGTTGTTGTGAAGTGCCATTGAGTCGGTTCCAACCCATAGCGACCCTGTATAGGGTTTCCGAGGAGCAGCTGGTGAGCTTGAACTGCTGACCTTGCAATTCAAATGACTTTGCAGTCTGGCGCATTAACCCACAGCGCCACACCAGGACTCTTAGACTAACAAAAATTACAGAAAAGTCAAAACACTACAGGCCTCCACTCCAACTGGGCCCTTGCACCAATAGGATTTTAAATTATTATTCCTTACTGGTTCAGCATCCTATTAATGATGAAAAAGACTTAATCAATTTTTAGCTCTCAAACCTTTTCAGTACCTTTATTTGAAAACCTCACCTTTTACTTCAGTTGAAAAAGGAAAAGGAACAAGATTAAATAGAGATGAATTACCTTTCATTTTAAAAATTACCCAAGAAGTGATTC